TTAAACCTATGAAATGATTTGCAAGTGTCTATAATTAAAATTAGTGGAGTAAAAAATCTAAATACTCATGTTATCAAATATATATATATATATATTGAAAACGATGGTAACAAGTTACAAGCAATGTTATGGCTACACAATCATTTGCTATTGACACACAAGATATTGTAAATTTATTTATTTTGTCTAATTTTACCAATCCACAACTGCTGATGTACTTGAAAATATCAATTTATAAGTTGATTTTATACTGTTAAATAATAAAATACTAATTGTTGTCTTAACTTAAAATTGAAATATTGTTTCTCATTTTAATAAAAAATTTCATTTAATAAAAAAATGCTAGAGATATATAAAAAATTAAAAAATATATTCATTTCTTAATTTTGTTAAAATTCTAAAAATAAAAATCTAACTAATTTCATAAAAAAATATTTAAAATTGTCAACAAAAGTTTTGCCTTTCCTCACTTTATTTTTCTGGCTCTATATACCTAAGTGTGTGGTTTAGGATTTTGCTATATAATTTAATATTTTTTGGTGCAGTTGAGGAAGGATTTTGATTAGCTTTATATGAAAAGGATTTTGATTAGCTTTATTTTTTGGAGCAGTTGAGGCAGCACGTGCAATAAAAGAGGTTGGACCGATCGGACCCACTAGTAGAAAAACTAAAATTGACGAAGATAATTGACCACTGTTAGTGCGTCAAACCAGACCCCCCTCCCTCGCCTGCCCTGCTTATAAAAAATTAGCTTGCCTTAATTAATTCTCTCCGTATAGCAGCTATGGCCGACAAGGTTTGTGCTAAATTTATACTTTTTTTTTCTCTCTCTTTTCTGTGGCCGTTATGCCTCTCTCTCTCTCTCTCTCTTGATGAAAATTAAGGATATATATATATATATATATATATATCTAATTATGTATTTTGGTTTGATCATATATATGGCACCCTAATTTTAATTTGCTCATAATTAATCCTTTTTCTGAAATTAAATTCCTTGTCTAATAATGATGCTGCATGGCATATATATATATATATATACACTTTTGCAGGTGACAACAATGGTGCTGAATGTAGTGGATCTACAGTGCTCAAAATGCTACAAAAAGATCAAAAAACTTCTCTGCAAATTTCCTGGTGATGACTCCCTTTCTTCAATTATTATTGTTCTCTCCTAATTAATTAATACATAATTTGTTAAATATAATTTGTGTACGTATATGTATACCAATATATGGATTGATTAGCCAAGTGGACTGAGTCGTTGTGTTGTGAACAAATTAATTAAAGAAATACGAGATCAGAAGTATGATGAGAAGGCAAACAAGGTGACAATTAAGGTGGTGAG